AGAGCTACGCATTCTTCGTGTGTTCTTCGAGCCAGTTCCAGAGCTGTTCCCCGACCACAGGCTTCTGTGACTCGGGACTAGGGGTGCCTATCCTCGCCCATGGAATTAGATACTAATGTCATGGAAAGAATCATGCGTTTCAGTCAAAGGTGCAATGAGCACTAATTCCGAGGGCAATACTACTGACCTTTCCGTTAACATCTTCTGCTTTGGCGGTGGTTGCACCCCACAAGTGCGTCAAAGCGCCCATTGGAGCTGGATACAGCAGAGGATTCTGGAAGTCAGTTAGCCAAAAACCCGGAGTAACATATACAGTGTCTAGCTAAAGACATACCAGCATCGTGCGGAAGAGACCCGGGAGGTTGCGCTGGAGGCCAGTTCTGATACCACCTGGCGCCAATACATCAGCCTCAGCGAGAACATGCACCGAACCAGCGAGACTCACCTGGGTTGAGCGAGAAGGCGACGAGGCCCTTGTCACTGTATCGTCTAGCAAACTCCTTTGCAAGCACAACATTGGCCTGTCCACATAAATAAGCATATATGTCGTGGGTAGAGACGTGAAAAAGCCATGGCAGAGAACGTACAAACTTCGATTGACCATAGCGTTGATCAGGACCCAGCTTCTTCCGAGCCGGGGTATCGGTGAGGGTGTCGTACTTTATCTGGTTAGCCTGGGCCTGCGAGGCAGTGAACGTGACGCGGGCCTTCTTATCAGGCGACTGAGCTGCACCTGCAAGGAGAGCTGGGAGGAGAAGTTTCGTGAAGAGGAAAGGGCCTGGGAACAAGATTGCTTAAGTTTGGAGGTCGTTGATAGTGGACCTTCCATGTACGCACCGACAACGTTGGTGCCCCATTGGATGTCAAAGCCTTCCTCGGTGAGGTTGAGATTGCCCGGGGCGTTGGTCAAGTACATTGTCGCGCTGGGAAGCCAATGTGAGTGTATGCTCATAACTCGAAGCACTATGAAGCGTACGCGAGATTGAATAGAACATCCAAATGCTGTTCCTTATCGAGGAATTCTTGCGCAGCACGTTGTACGCTCTTCAGACTGGAGAGGTTGAGCTCCAAGAAGATGGCTTCCTTGCCCGTGTCCTTCTTGAGCTCTTCAATCACCGCCTTGGCAGAGTTCGCGTTCCGAGCTGCAAGGTAAACTTTTGCGTTGTGGCCCAGCAGCGCACGAGCGGTCTCTTTGCCTATGCCTCCATTTCCACCTGTTCGCGTATGATACTCTCAGCGTAAGTTGAGACACGACATCGAACAGACATACCAGTCACTATGATGACCTTGCCCGAGAGGTCTGGGATGTCATCGACATGGAACTTGGAGGTGGGAGGAAACACTTGGGATAATGCCTGACCCATGGCGACGACTTGGACTCACGGAGATGGGGGATGGAAAGCAACCTTAGAGAGATCCACATACGGAAAATGCCATGTCCAGCATGCATCAATGATCACTTCGTGTTCTAAGGGTACGTGGGACGGTTAATCTGCCGTGAATCTCCGCCGGGAATGGAAGCAATGTACATACGCCGACTTGGGTCGCGGGAGCACAAGTTGCGGCCATACCGGAGGGAAGCATGCCATAGGGGATTCTATGTGGTCGCCGGCCTCCAGCTTCCAGCTTCTAGATCGAGGCGCTCGCACCTGACAGTTCTCGCGTCTCAGTTATTCGTGTCCAGTCTGATCTGGCCATACTAATATCCCTGTCAGTGACATAGTATCACAGAGCCCAAGGAGAATTGCATGCAAGAGTGCACAAATATGTATACACCAACACTCGTATGTGGCACATATACGTTGAGTCAAAATTGCTTCACTCCAAGCTCAGCCGGCATGACCCCCTACGGTGCGTTCCACAATCCCCAATACATCGTTGGAACGAGGCACAATCTTACACTGAAATGGAGCAGGCCCACTGAAAATACAGACACATCCGTCAGCGTACGAGAGAAAACATTGAGAACCGGAAGAGGGAAACGAACGCGGTGACCCCTGCATCTATCACATCTATCAAAGAGGGTGTTATCTCCTTCCCATCTGCATCGACGGCTTTCTGAATGTTGAATGCCCAAAGCAATTGCGCAATATTGATGAAGAGCGATTGGCTGGCGAACGTGACCCCGACGCATTTCCTGTGGCAGCGTGACAAAAATTCAGGTCACAGAAACAGAAGCAGATTGGGCAAGTTCGTCAGTTTGAATGAATGAATAACGGACGGGACGTACCTTCGTCCGAATCCGAATGACAAGTGACCGAGGTTATGCGTGTCTGGATGCGCAAGGTCCATGGTCTCTGTCGGGTCAAGATGCCGTTCCGGGATGAACGCTTCAGGGTCCGTGTACAATGCGGGATCCCTGAACACCACGTTGTATCAGTCAGGAAGAGCAAACAGCTAAGGTGAGGCGAGCCGCGTTATACCTATCAACAGCCCTGTAGAGGTAGTCTGACGGTGAGAAGCGTATGCCATTGCATAGGGCAGAACAAGTCCCACCATATATTTGAAATCACGATGGACCCTGTTAAAACGGCGCTTCAGGTGATGGGTATGGACATGGAATTGTGGACATGTACCTTTCGGGATGAGATAGCCTTCGTACCAATCATCCTATACACATCCAACATGAGTCTGAGCCGAAACAACATTAAGAGAAGCGCATTACTTCAGCAGTGCGTCGTGGAATACCTGATGTGAACCCTCTGTGAATTGCCGTGAACAATGGTAAGCCCTGAAAATACGTACCCATAGGTCCGGCGGGTCTCCAACGTAGAATCTCTCGCACGATAGCGCGGATGTAAGGCAGGTGGGGACGGTCAGAGAAAGTAGGCAACCGGTCACGTCCCACAACGCGGTCGAGTTGGGCTTGGGCTTTGCGCATAACGTGAGGGTAGTGAATCATAGCAATGAGGAAGGCTTGGAGTGTGGCCGACGTCGTCTCCGCTCCAGCGGAGCTGTAGGGCAATGGATATGAGCGGACATATCGGGTTGTAGAAAGGGGAAAAAAGACATACAACATGATTCCGGCAAGCCAAGCGGCCTCTTTCTTTGAGAGTTCATGCTTTCCTTCGCCCTCAATAAGAGAGGAAGCAAAACTGTACTGTGTGTCTCCCGCCGCCTGAAAACGTCGATGAGTCTTTCCGTACAACCCATGCTAGCAAAAGTACGCGCCATCTTTTTCTCCACGTCGTTCATAAACCCTTCAAACAAGACTGACTCACGCTTATGCCAAGCAATAGCATCGCGCTTCCACTTGGACATCCACAGCGGGAGGTAATTGAGAACGGGGAACATGTCCACCATGCTCGTGCCCGGGATGCATGCGTTCGAAAGGTGTTCGGTATGGTCGTGTATACGCTTCACGAGTGGGACGTGTGAGTCATTGATCCGAGGCCAGCCGTATGTCGCGGTAAGGATATTGGACGCAGTAGACCTAGGAAGGAGCAGAAAAATAGTAAGTCGCGAGCCATATGTAAAGCAGGCAGCCTGAAGAGAAGATGCAAACCGTTTCAGGCTGATCTCCCATCCATCTGGATTTTCCAATATGTCCAGAAGCAGGCGGCTCGCTTCTTTCTCTTGAAGCGTTTGAAAGTGCTCAGCCGCACGAGGTCCGAACGTCTCATGAGTGACGCGACGCATCCTCCGGAACCTGCATAGAGTAATTCGTAAGCCACTCTTCAACTTGCAACGAATAAGAAAGGGGACATGCAAATCTCCATAAGAAATGAATGAAAGCATGATTCCATCGCATAACAGCTCGCCTGCCTTGATGAATCGGGGGCGATGGCTGTAGTTCAGTCCACGACGATCTGCGAACAACCTCAGATAAGCCAGAATGGCAGTATGCATTCCAGAATCCTGCTCACCGAGAAGTTCGAATGTAGACTTGAGGTCATTTAGCACGATGACAGTCTGACCAGCTGCATTGAAGGAAATGACAGGGCCTATTTGCGATCCACAGTCGGTTACCCTGACATTACTCAAAAAACTAACTTATCGCACCGTATTTCTTGCTAATTTCGAAAAACCGAATCCAAGGCAACTTGGTTGGCATTTGTAGAGTGTTACCTAAGAGGGGCAATCCTGGGGGACCCGGGGGGAGTTGACGGCGCCATAGGTAGCCTCTGATCTCTGCGGACACCAGCCAGACGATCAGTATGGTGAAGAGCAAATAGTATGGGTCAGAGGACCCTGATGGGATGGATAGAGCCATGTTGGTTCGGATGGGGAGTTGTGATTTGTCCAAGGTCAGGAGAACTCGGACCCACTATGCAATGGGCTGACGGTGTGCTTATATACCTAGTGTACTGAAGACAGAGCCCAACAATCAGAGGACCAATCAGGATCATTCCGCTGGACGTCTGAAGTAGTCTCCCAACGGCAGACGGGACAGACAAATTTTCCTCGTGCCTCGGATGCTGAAACGGACGGCTTGTCAAACGGACGCCGTGCTGTGAAAGGGTTGGTGAGTCTCATCAGATATCAATACGCATTCAGTTTGTTTTAGACCGGCTGCAGGGTCAACCAAGGGCACTCTCTTATCCTAGTGCTTGTAGCATATTCTCTATGTACTTTACAGGCCGAAGTGCCCATGCCCCGCGCTGTTTATGGGTCTTGCATCTTGGCGCCGAGTCCCATCGAAAAGGAAAACATTGAACGAGATGGCCAGAGCGCAGAGAGGACAAATCTGAGGTCAGGATATATCGTTGCAGCCGAACCAAGGAAAGACACCAGGGTTGGGTTGGAGGTGGGTTGGAGGTAACTAACTGGTGCTGAGATGATCGGAAGAGTCTGAGTAGCAGTAACGTACGTACGTACAAAGCACCGAGTCGCCTTCGCAGACTCTACACTCCCAAATTCGTGGTAAAGCACTGAGTGTAGTACTGACGCAGTTTACCTTAGGCGAAGAAATTGGCTTGGTCCTTGGCGGGCGACCAGGCAGCCCGTTACCTCTTTTAACAGTCGTAATGATAATGTTATAATGCTATCGTACACAATATGGCCGATTAACTCAGTTGGTTAGAGTGCGGTGCTAATAATCTCTATGAATTGTTAACGCCGAAGTCGTCGGTTCGATCCCGGCATTGGCCATTGCATCTCCTTTTTTCCTCCCGCCCCACAGAGCTTCTCCAGCATTTCCTCAAAGTATTTTCAGTACTCCGTTCCGTATGTCGCGTTCTCTCATGCGTTTTACATGAGACGGTTACTCACAGTACTAGTATACTTCACAATTGGCAAGACTCTGCCAGTAACTCGGAGACGAGTAAACAAGAATACAATACAGCGGCAATGAGTGGAAAACGTAAAGATACAGATACAATTACATCTTCTTACAATCCAACGATGAGAAGTCCAACATTCAACCATCTGGTCTTCGTCAAACACTCAAGCCTCACCAGCCTTCATCCTCTTTCCCTCTTCAACCTTATCATGTCCCTTCTTCCCCTCCGCCTTCCCAAGCAACACCTTCGCCTCTCCCTTCATCTTATCAAAGAACCCCACTTTTTTCTTCTTCTCATCCTCCCCTCCCGTGCTGGACGCACGCCGTTCATGAGCCTTCTCAGCAACGCCTTCTTCCTTCTTCCCGTGCGCGCCCGTCGTTTGGTCGACGCTTGTGTTCTTTTCGTCGGGAACGGGGACTTTGGATTGGGCTGCGGACGCGCCTAGACCTCCTGCGTTGTTATCCGACGCGTCTTTGGCTTGGGTAGGATGAGAGGGTAGAGGGTGGAGTTGAGCGGGGTGGTAGTCCGTTTGGTACGACTGAACCTACGAAGGTTAAAGGTGGTCAGCGTCGATTTTGAGACGACACGCAAGACGAAGAACGGAAAATGAAGGACTAGAAGAACCGAATGCCCAGAAACAATAGAATTCGTCAACCCACCCCCGCCTGTTTGGCTTCGTTGGCGTTCCCCTCATCATCGCCAGGCTCGTCAAGTCGGGGCTCATCAATTCCCTCAAGAGGCCTCCCACCCCACGTAGCACCCGCACTGCCCAATGCATGCGAACGGGGCTGCAGAGTCGGGTGTCGGAGGTCTGCGAGGAGCTCCTTCCCGGGATTCTCCTCACCCTGCTCACCGCGTTTCTCATCATGAGAGTCGGTACGCTTCTCGTCGCGGGAGGATAAGGTACGAGGACTCTCGTTGCGCTTGTCCTTCCTACGATCCTGCGATGGGGACGAGGACAACGGCGCACGAGGAGGGTTACCTGACGTCGACTTGGAAGATGGCGTCGAACCCGTACGCTCGTCATCGGCAGCGGTCTAAGCAAGACGTACCGCCGAAGTTGTGCAATTACCGCGAAAAGAGCGTTGAGCACACGCCACGCGAGGCGAGCGAAAGAAGGTAAGGCAGGAAGGGGAGTAAGAGAGAAACGAAAACGAAAGGAAAGGAAAGCAAACCACACCACGAGGATCAAAGAAATGAGGAATTATCAGTGCCTCTAACTCACCTGACTCGGCAACCCATGATTTCCACTGACCTTTTCTTCCTTCCGTTCCGCACCGACAGCTGAGGCACCAACGGCTCCAGACGCGCCTTTCACGCCTTCATTGTCTGCTCGGGACTGCAGTGAAGGTTGAGAGCGGTGTTCGACGGGTTGAGGTAGTTGTGATTGGAAGGTATGTTGTTGAGATACGTGAGGTTGAGACAAATAACGTTCGTCGGGCAAACTTGCGACACCGGACTCGTTTCGAAGACCAACGAGGGACCCGACACCTTCTTGCACGCCTTGACGTTGTCCATCCCTAGCGAGACCCTGCGCCTCGTTTCCGTAAGGCTCATGAGTAGGCAAAGAAACAGGTTTGACCTCCTGCGTCGCGGTCAGCGCACCGAGAACCACATCTGAGCGATCATCCGGGAGCCGTGCGACTCCGCTCTCGCCTAGGCCACCAGGGAGAGCACCTACGCCTCCGACGCTCCTGACACCTCCGAAACGTTCATTTCCTTCTTGCTCTTGCGAAGGAAGAGAGGTAGGGACGCCATCAGCAGTACGACGGTGTGAACCCACAGCAGGGTCTGTGGCACCAGTCGTGCTACCTGCGAGACGTTCGGAAGGAAGGACAGCTACGCCGCTCTCGTTGTTGGAGCCTGGGAGAGAGCCGACACCTTGCGTGTGAGAGAGGGAAGGGGACTCTTTGGTGGGTAGCTCAGAAGATTGGCCCGTAACTGAAGGTGTATTCCGATGTGTTAGTGATATGTGCGGTTGAATGCATAGTGGGACATACCGGTTTGCTTGGCCTTCTCAGTCGTCTCCTTGGCTTTCTCAGCAGCACTACCAAGGATACCACCAACAGCAGTACCGCCGATGATGTTTGTCAAGCCAGAGGTGTTGCCAGCTCCGGAAGACTGTTGTTGTTCGAGGTTACGTTCGTCAGGGGCTTTGGCGATGGCGTCTTCTGCGATGGTACCAGGGAGAGCACCAACGCCAGAGACATGCTCGCCGGGAGCAGAACCGGCTAGCTCGGTGGACGGGAGTGAGACCTCGTGAGGAGTGTCGTGAGTCGATGCTTGTGTGACACCAGCGGGACCTTGAGTGGCTACAACGACATAGTCAATAGGCCGAACGAACATCAGAGCACAAATGTCAAATGAACTCACGAAGATACCCAGCGACGGTGTCAACAACGCCCTTGGGCAAGTATTGTGCCGCTGTGGGGAGGTATGACGCAGCAGTCTGGCCCATGCTGTGGGCGGCTTCTGTAACGGACTGCGTCACCTTGCTCGCTGTCTCCCTCAAATCGACATTGGGGGCAATGCCGGCCCTCTCCTCCGCGTCGGGCTTGTATGCGCCTGGGATACCAGGGGTGCTGACTGCACTCGATGCGGAAGCGGTGGGTTCCATGGAAGGGGCCGTAGAGTGGGCGTTGGTTAGGAGGTCTCTCGTGGTTGGGTTCATGCTCGACCCAGTGTTGGTTGTATCAGAGTTGGGCTGGAGCATCGAAGTCGTCTTGGACGCCCATTCGTGCGAAGGGGTCTCAAGACCGGATTGCGTTGCAGTGGGAGGGATCGTAGGGGGTACACCGGCCATGATGTCGTAACGGTAAGTCGTGAACGTGAATTAAACAGTGGCTTAAAGTTTCCAATTCGTGTTCGTAGTGAAAGGGGATCTTGAAGAGGACCCCCATGGCTGAGCGATGGTTTATATGCAGTCAGGTCGGTCTCCGCAGGGATCCCAAACCCATCGTCACGCCTTCGAATCCTATGACGTCATTGGTGTCCTGAAGAGAGCCACAACGAGTTTGTGTGGAGTTGAATTTCTTGATTGGACTCTTGCGTAACCAGCGTTCGTGGGCCGTGCGCACGTCGTAACCCTCCGCGCAAGCTTGATTACCATGACATACATACCAATGCCCTCCATCGTCGCGCGTACACTCGCCGACGTCTGTTGCCTATGACAGAGTGAAAGTTGAGAATAGTAGTGAGCGGATACAACCCAATCAGCTAGCGAATTTGAGCACCCACCATGATCCACCACCGCTGTATGGAACGAAAACACGGACAATGCCACCTTCAAGATATGTCCACGTCGCGTTTCGCCTCCCTGCCGAAATACATATCAAAGCAGAGTGCTGCGCCGAAGATTGAAGTGGCGTCGTGACTCGGGTGTAGAGGTGAAGTATCGGCCAGACCGTCACGTAAGTTGTCCCTCTGACACCACGCAGAGCACACAGATTTTGGACAAATGTGGACTCGGAAGGCACGACGCGGAGGTTGTTTGGCTTTGTGTACCAAAGCCTTCGTTCCTGACCGGCCGGTGGCTGTGCATGCTTTCTTTCGCCTCCGAGCGCCCTCAGGCCTCAGGCTCGGTCCACACAAACACTGGTATATGCCTTGCTTACCTCTGCTCACACTATCAGTATAGCAGTAGGGATACTCACATTGTTCGACGTCCAGGCGGCATGATGCACTCATCCAACCCGCTATTGGGACTTCGACTGCTGTTCCGCGTGTGACTACCGGTACGTAGCTTATGCTTTCAATGTGGCGCAATACAGCTGATATACTGTTTAGTCTCTATGACTGGGTTCATCTTAGTTGAGATGTACTTGAGGGTAACTCTTCGCAGGACATCGATTTGCTGCGGGCGCCCGGACACAACCGAGCTACCTATTACTGTGATCCTTTGCTACACCGCCGCGAGATCTCATGCAAGTCCCAACCGTGCCTCTAACTAACAGGGGACGATTCTTCAGTTGTAAGCATGTGGCGATCCACTTCCAACTCATTCCGCGCGTGCAATGACACGATACGTCACTATGGACATGGTCCCTTTGTGCATTGCGAAGACGCCACACAGGGCCTCGACATCGTTGAACACTTGTCTTTCTGTGCACAGGTATCTGTTACCTGCGGGCCACTCGCGATATCAGAATATTACGTGCTAGCTCAGAGTGTAGTTGGCACCGCCGATGCAATAGGTATTTGGTCTTCGCATGCTCTATTCACGACCCTGTTATGTTCTGCTCAGAGGTAACACCAGGGTTTCAATCCTAGGACCCTTACACTGCGGTGCATTTTGACTCTGTTGTTAGGGCGAATAAAGAAGAGTTCAAGTCGACACCTGTGTCGGTGCGGAGGGATAGTAGGGTCGTCTCCTTGTGGGACTGCCCAATGAATTACTTTCGACTTTAAGTGTCATTGCCTCACCCAATTCCGGTCACTTTGCAGCTTCTACCAGCACGAGCAATGGTATATAAGGCCCTTTTGCAACACGGCAAAAAGTCCATCACACACAATCCTGAACAAGCCTCACAAGTCTACAACGTATCCAGCCCACCGCAACACCCTTCGTACACATCGATACCTTACCGAGAATACTCAACATGGTACATATATCACGTCGTCGAACTCCGCTGATAATATACTGACTTGCTCTTTCATCAACAAATGGCAGGATCAGAATGCAAATCGGTTTTTTGTTGACATCCGGAACACCATTGCGCGGCAGCTTCTTTTGGACCTCGCACAAGTACTGGATATCGAAAACACACACGTCTTGTTGATCGGTGCTCATGCAGCTAGCATGCATATGTCGAGATTCCGTCAAACCTTTGTTACGATTCCTGAGGTACGAAGAGAATCGTCTACTAAGTC